CTAGTAGTAGTATTAAAAAGAGGTATATTTAGAGTTATTATATAATAAATTACTTATATATAATCTTATTACCGCCCTTCTAGGAACTTATAACTCGACTAGGGTAGAAAGGCTCGGAAGAGTTATAATATTACCGCTTATAGAAGATTAAATCGATTAGGTCGAACTAGGCTAATTAGTATTATCTATAAAAGAGGGCTTATTATATAAAAAGGTATATATTAATATAATATAGATACTACCTTCGAATATTAGGGCTCTAAATAATAAGTAAGTGTTTATCTCTATACCGGCTTAATAAGGTAATAGAGGTAGAGTTTTATCCTAAAAGTTAATATTATCTATAGAGGGGGCTAAAAGTAGAAATAACTATATAAGCTACGAAAGGTATTATAAATTAGGGAGGTAGGTTATTATAGGGCCGTTAGTACGCTAACGTTATAATATATCGGTATTAAGCTCGATTAAAGTTAATATAGAGTAAATTTTAACTAAAGGAAACTATAAAAAGCTTCGATACTAGCCTAGAGTAAGCGGGAAAAATCTTAAAAATATTCCCTTTTTCTAGAAAGAATTAAGATTAAAAAAATAGTTAGTAACTATCCTAACTATCTATCTAATAAGCCTTATTAATCCTCACTATAGGAAGGCTTCTCTACCTCTATTAAGAGGAATACTCTACCTCTATCGATAGGAGTTCTTAAAGTTCTAGCCGAATTCGCCCTAAGGTTATTATTAGCTTCTAGAGTTAAAAGTCTCTCTTTTTCGGTAGGTTCTAGATATCTTAATAAAGATACTAGTCTTATTCTAAAAGCTTATAAGGCTCTATAATAGTATAGGGACTAGGATAATACTATCCTCGATAATCCGATTATTACTATTATAGCCTATACTCTTATAGAATCTTTTAGCTATAATACTCTTTTAAAACTATCTCTAATAACTTAGTATTTTAATTTAAGTCTATATCTTAATATATCTTTATACGTACTATCGCTAGACCTCGTTTATTTTCTTAAGTATCCCTATAATAATATAATTTAGGAAATACTCTATAACCGATACTAGAGTCGTATAAGACTTCGTAACCTATTATTTAAGTTTAAAGCCTCCTATAACTTTCTATTATTCCCTACTCTTAACTTACTCTTAAATAGGGCTTAATATAGATTTATTTATAAGGTATCTAATCGATCTATATAAATATATAGTATCCGCTAAAGATCGCCGCTATTTCTTAAGTGTTATACTCTAGTACGCCTATATAGATATTTTAGTTCTTATAGATAGTCTCTTACTAAAGGGTTTATATACTTTATCTATAAAAGAGGTTATATTTACTAGAGCGAGTAGAAGAGGTAGAAATAAAAAGACTAAATTAGATATTTAACTATTTTTTTTTTATATAAATAGCGAGCGGGATATATAGCTTTATACTTCTTCTTAGTCTAATCACGTCTTATTTAATAGAAAGGCTCTAGAAGGATAGAATTTAGATAGGACCTATCTACTAATCTATTCTATTACTAACCTATCGTATAGAGTAGGACTCGCCCGCTTATCTACTTAATCTAATAGCTACGCTATAAAGAGAGAGCTATAGGTCTACGTATTATCTACGTCTAGTCGTTACTATTATATCGATTAAGCGCTACTTACTAGTCGTTATAAGGCCTAGGATAGTAGACTAAACGCGTAGGACGTACTAATAAGGAGATAAAGACTCTCTTATTATCTCTAGTCTATATACCGCTTATTATAGAGGTAAATAGACCCCTATTTTCTTATCCTTCTATCTTAACCTCTCTACTAATCGATTATAATACTTAGTAGATATAAGGTATTTATATATCCTAGAAGCTATTAACTATTAGTATTTTACTTTTTTTAGTAGGATATAAAGGGCGATAAAGGATAACGCTAATATCTATATAGATATTAGGAACTATAGCTATTAAGGTAGCCGTTATTTATACTAAAGCGTCTACTATCTAGATAAGCGTCTAAAAGTAGGGAATTACTACCTAGTAAACGCTAATAATATACTAGTAAAATATTCCTTTAGGTTTTCCGCTAGGGGAAGGGGGCGCTATATTATATTATATATATTTAGATAAGGAAGGGTAGCTATAGTTAGTATATAAAAAAGGGAGATAATAAGGACCCTTACTAGATTTCTACTAGGTCTCCTATAAAAGCCTCTAGTCGAATATTATTATAGAGTATATATATATATATTTAATATTATATTAAGATACTAAGTATTAGCTTAGTATATAAAATATAGATATTAGGACTATTATTATAATTATTAATTAGAGAAATAAGTGGATTTTTATAGCTATTTAGGTATTTTACTAGAATATAAGATAATTTTAGAAAGGTAAGAACTTATATATATTTATAACTATAATCTAGCTAATAGTAACTTAGATAGAACGAAAAATCGTATAAATATAAGATCGTTAGATCTAAAGCGATAGATCGTATTAGAAATATATTCTTATAATCCGCTAGCGCTTAGATATATATACTAAACCTATATCTTATAATTAAAGAATAACTTCCTTAAAGACCGAAAATCTAAATAGGTAATTACTTAGTTACTAGGTTTAGATATAAGATTATCTATAAGGCATTTTTACTATTAGATACTTAGGATAGGGCGAAGTATCTATAGTTATTAAGGAACTAAGCTATAATAGAACGGAGTAGCGGAGATAACGAGCTACTAGATAGATTATAACTAGGTAGCTCTAGAGCACGGATAAGATACTAAGATAAGGTATTAGGGAGATAGTAAATTATCGAATCGAGGATAAGGGAGGATAACTAAGGGGAGTAGATAGAGAATCTATTTAAAGAATAAGTAGACTATATAGGCTAAGTTAGCGCCCTATAAACGAATAATCTATACCGTATTACTCTTCTAAAAGGCGTATAACCTCCTTATAACGCTACCTATACTAAGAGGCCGAATAATTCCGATCCTAAGAGGAATATAAAAGTAATAAGGGCTTAGCCGTAGTTTATAACCGAAAAGTAGTAAGGGGCGAATAGGGTAGTCGGCGAGTCCTATTAGGCGGGCGAGATTATAGGGGCGTAGGCGGGGTAGGAGTTATCGAGATAGGACTTTAGTAGCGGTAAATATCGAGAGAATCTTATAGAAGCTAGGCTTTATCCTAGAAAGGATTCTATAGCCGAAAAGAATCTAGGCGAAAACTAGCGTTTAATATATTATATAGAAAAGACGGTCGTACGTAAGGCGGAATCTACCTTCTACCTAGCGTAGAAGATCCCGACTAGCTCCTAGAATCTAGGCCACTATATCTAAAGACGCGGGACTATACTAGTTTTATAACTATAGGTTATAGTCTACTAGTAAAAATTACTACGACTCTTCCTTATAGACGACCTTTACGATATATACCCTATACTAGTCGTTAGCCTATCCTCTATTTAGTAGGTATAGGTAAAGGTATAATTATAGTATAGTTTCCGTAGTTATAGTCCGGTATTAGCCGTATAATATATTATCGACTAAGGTTAGGCGTATATAAGGCATTTTTACTATTAGCCTATATCGCCGCACTATACTTTCGAGATTTATCGATTAGGTATAGAGAGACCGGAGAGACCGACGATAACGATAACTAGGCGCTATAGGATTCGCGACGAGGTAATAGAGAGTCGTTCTACAATATTAGGGGCTATACAAATATAACCTTAGATAGGGCGGATACGGATAAAGCGGGGTATACGGCATCGAAGATAGTATACCGGAACTTTATAGATACGTTAGAGGCCGGTAGAATAAGTGACGCTTAACAAGTAAGGTGCTCTAGTAGAGAAGGCGACCTAGATAGCTTCGTAGCACGATACACTATCACTCCCCTAGGAAAAGACTAGGAAGGAGTATCGACACGAAAGCGAACGATGCGGCTGCGGGCTAGTCATCTCATCCTAGGGGTTCTGCTCCTAGGCGACTAGATAGCATGGCAGCCTAGGCCGGCCAGAACGAGCTAGGCGTCGGATCGAGCGGCATCTCTGGTAAAATGAAAGGGGGCAGTGCGTCGGGCTGAAAGCAAATGTGTAGTGGTCGGTGGGGGCTAGAGTAAAAAAAAGGGGGCGGCGATGAGTGCAAAATAGAGAGGTAGGAAGAATGGAAAAAGTGAGAGAGGGGAAGGAAGAGCAGCGAAGACGGGTCTTTTATGTCGGCGGCATTAAAGGGAGGTTACGTGACGGCGTATTGGGGCGCTAAACCTAAAGAGGCAAAACTAACCACATACAGTAATTCACAGGTCCGCCGTTTACACTACAATTAGAATATGAGGACCTGTGAAAATGACGCCGAAAATGACCATTTTGACGCCAGAAACGGCTTCCTAAAAGCGGCAAGGGATGAGCACTAAAACGGAAAGCGAACGCCAAGAAGTGGCAGAGGAAATCAACCTTGGAAGTACATACCTACCTAGGTAGGTAGACCCTCCATATTACATAAGAAATGCCAAGAGATGGGGTCATGTGATGTAGTCCTTGAAGCCGACCTTGAAATCCCGGTACCGGACGGACTGCCTACTATGTATGCAGTCTCCCTTACTAAGCAGTCCAGCCTCAGGGCTCCAGGGCTCCAGGGCTAGTCCTCGTCTGGAATCACAATCCTCGCCTCTGCTCCTGTTCCTCTTTTCCCTTCTCTCCTTACGCACAATGAGACTAGCAATCTGATCAGTGATCTCCAAGCATCTCTGTAAGCTGCTCACTACCAAAGTGGCCTAAACCTACTGCTTTCTCCACTTTGGAATGCTTTCTACCTCGCGCAAATTCTGGCACACACCATTGTCCGCCATTCCTGGTCACTGAACTCCATGTTTTTCGTGAGAATTTCGGAACTTGAAATTGAAAAGCAATTATTCTACGATTCCTACTCATTTCTGCGGACAACCAACCGAGCCTTTTGTTATTATTGTTCTCAACCTCGAAACGTCGTACGCGCAGCCAAAATGTCCATTGCAGTCCTGCCCGTGGAATTGATCTCAAAGATATGTAACCATTTGGATTTCCAGCAATTGGTCGCTCTGAGGTTATCATGCCGCGCGTTGTACAAAAACACACTGGAGAATTTTGCGAAGGCCTTTTACCAAAAAATCCGTTTCATTGTGACAAGCGAAAGTCTCCACGAACTGGAAGAACTATCCAAGTCAGATGGTCTCCGCGAGCACGTTCAAGAGCTATGGATGATCCCTGTTGTGTTCGATGGCATTGAAAAACTCCCCGGGATGATATCTATATCATCAAAAAGCTGCCGGCAGGTCAAAGGCGACGAGCAGGAAAGTCGGCATGCTGTCCAAAAAGCCATGCTTGCGGATAATCGCAACCTGCTGGAATCAGAAGCGTTCAGTGTTCGACTTCGGGAATGTCTGGATCGATTCAAGAACATCCAAACAATAGGACTCGCACATTACAGAACGGAATTTTTGCTTGATCCCCGGCAGAAGACAGTTCCATTCCTCGGAAGACGACAGATGATGAGCCGGATCGATTTTCGATTCGATGTTTACAGCCTAGGAGAGTCGACGCGGACCAACAAGGCCAGCCAGATACGAAAACTGAACTCCTTGGCATTATCAAAGCTTTTTCTTGCGTTATGTAGCTCAAGCTGCAGACCCCGAAAGCTGCACACCTGTGATTCTAACTTCTGTGGTGATATCGGCTCCAGGATTGCCCTCTCCGAAGACCAATTCGATTCTCTACTGTCTAATCTAGAAGGCCTAGAGGATCTTCACTTATGTATTGATCTCAATGAGACGGCTTGGCTGAAATTTTTCAGGAAGCTTGCACCTCAACTGGAAGTACTGATCTTGTCGCAAGATCATATGCCTTCTTATCTTGTTCAAGATGAGATGCCTGCCTATCCGGCAAAAAGTTACGTTGGACACATGTTCTATGGCATTGGCTTCACTCGACTCCGAAAGCTTCATATTCACGAGCTTGATATCAATTTCAGCTCTTTGAGATCACTATTACTCGGTGTCAAGAAAAGTCTGGTCACCCTCACAGTTCAACGGGTTACAATGCGTAGTGAGAAGTCGAGAGCCACAGAAAATCCTAGATCGCAACATGCCGAGTCCCCTGACCGCCAGGAAAATGAAACATCTGTCCGATATGCATCGCCTGCGTCTCAGCTCACTCCACTGGCGGTCAATCCAATATCGCTATTATATCAACCTACAGTGCCATCATTTGACCCAAATCTGCCATCATATCACCATACAGTGCCATCATTTCAACCAACACTGCCATCATTTTCAACATCGTCACCGTACACACCGACTGTATTCCCGCCAGAATATGGACCAGCCCCCCTATCAGTCCTACCAGCATCTGAAACAGCATCGGCAGAAAGTGCACCCCAATTACCACAGCATTCCTCGACTTCCGAATCCTCTGAGTCGTCGACAGAAGAATATCCAAACACAAGGTGGTTGTCTACTTACTATTACCCGTATGAGCCACCTGAATCAGCTCGAGGTTCAGTCTGTCCTACCTGGGAAACCGTAATGGCGTGGAAACGCAACGAAGAAGAGATCACTTGTGTGTCTAGGTTTTTGGACATTTTACAGAACGAGTTATCTCTAGAAACACTTTCACTGGAAGATATTATCTGTGATGGCAATTATTATTATTTCGAAAGAGTCGACAATGGAAACAAACAAAGCGGCCAAGTGCAGTTTGACATTCGCAAAGCTAATCTTTCGCTGAAAGATTGGATTTCCCGGCTAAGGCCAATTGCTAGCTGTCCGGCCGATCGAGTTCTAGAGCTTAAGGAGGACAAAGGTTAGTAGTACCTCACTATTTAGTCCCTGCGGTTACTGATGGAATCTAGATATGGAGGATTGGTTCGACAAGATGATAGGGAAGGACAGCGGCTCATTGAATAGATTAGACTGTGACTGCAACAGGAAAAAGAAGCCGTTCTGGGGATGTCCTTTTGGATGTCACCGATATTAGGAAAAAGTCAGTTTGCATTTATCTCAATAGTTCTGCGAATAATTGAGCTCTATTATTACAGTCTTAACACTGAATCCGATTCAATTAATATCAGGTAACAGAAGTTGCATGTCTTTCTCTTTGTGGATATTTTCCATTATATATCAAGAAACAAGGTTCCAAGTTGACTATCAAGATACGTGAATGGGACATCAGTCCCATGTAACGTTTCCAACCTTGGAACAACTGGAACCTTTTGCTTGCTTGCTAGAATGAATAGGCACAGAGATGAATATGTGCTAAGATCAAAACTGGGCCCCGGTAATACCAAATGAGCAGAGATCCTCACACGCGCAGGCCCGAGGACAACGTGCCTTGCAGACAGTGAGTCAGGAAGAGTCCTAGTTTTGGGGCGTGTTTGCTGCTTGATCAGGGTCTTCACACCTCCCGCTGCGGAAGTTGCACATCTCCAGATATACACCTAGCCGTCGGTGGTTAGTTTAATCTACCGCCTGTCGTCTTGAGGAACCATAGGGGTTTCTGCAACTTACCATTGATCCAATATGTGAAAGTATCTAGAGATAATCAGTACGATTCACAAGTCAATATTTCAGAAAAAGAAATCGTACCAGCATTGCTAACAGTCTGTGACTTTGTAGCATCAGTCTGAGCGTTGTCGTCTTTAGCAAGCTGAACGATGTCTACCCAGCCATACTTTATATCCCCTAAAACAGTTTAGAGGAGAGCCATTCATTAGCAGACCGATATGTTGAAAGTAGCATCGTAAAGTACTCACTTCCATAATAAGCACCAAATTGGCTTTGCCCGTGGGTGAACTCATGCGCGAGGAGTCGCTCTGGTGTGTTATGGATCATATGATAAAGGAAATCACCGTTTTTCACAACTGCTGCTTTATTTGCAGGTTGATACCAGACTTTCGTCTGAAATTTCAACTGAGACCACACCCCAGCACAAAATGTAATCCAATTAGGATTACCCTGAGTGTGTTTGGCTGTTAACGTGACCGCTTCCGCTTGCCCACCACCGAATCCAGCCTTATAACCTCGTGGGATCGTACAAAGAGACGCGGACACTTTTTGCTTGCGAGGACCAGCTGGTAGGTCCTTGATCATCCAAAATTCTACACATATCATGAGTCAGATATGGTTTCATGATGATGAAAGTTTGAATTAAGGGAAATTTTTGGATACTACTCACCTTGTTTAACAGTAGAAGGGACATTAGGGTCGAGGACCCATTCGCTCTCGTCGCAGAAGAAATTCCAGTAGGCCGTGTTCTGTATCAGACCATTCGCGAAAATAGCAGCCATTTCTAAAAGATTTAATTCGTAAGAATGGAAGCATTGGCATTTTGTGCTGAATGGGTATTTGTAACCTACGATTCACTCGTACGGCGCGGTCTCTTACTCTCGTCTTTGCAGCGACGTCATCCCACCTGAAAGATCCATAAAGAACCATGAAGAGATCTATCATGCGTCTTTGCTGTGCATGAAGGGTTGGATTGTTGTTGTTCATGTTGTTGTTGATCAAGTCGAGTGTCATTTGAGTAGCCTGCTGGCCGTAATTGGCCTGCCTCGTAATCGATATTAGAAAAATGTAATTCCCCCCTCTGAGCCCATCCCAGTGTTCATGGCCCGAGAAACTTGGATAAATTCACTTACCACGACCTTTAATTGCTCCATAGTGGCATCCCATTCACCGAGATTCCAATAACTCAAGCAGCTCGTGTGCACCCGAATTCTACCAGAATTTGGCAGGGCCGTAAATTGAGCATCAGTGGCTCTTGCAACGACATGATGGAGGTTATCCTCCGAGCCCACTGGGAAAATAGAGTGATTGCTGTACGGGTGAGCTTGCGCAATTAACACAATTTGCGTCAAAAGGATAAGCTGGCCAAGTAGGGGTTTAAAAGCCCCTGCAGGGCGAGCAAAACCCATCATTTGAGTCAAACGAAGGTGTATTGTGTAGAAGCAAAAGATGTTTGGAAATGAGTGTATGATGTTGGGACTGGAAAGCACTGGAGGATGGGACTGTCATATGTACAAAATGCTCAGGTACGGGATAGACCAGAAACTATGATAATCTTTCCAACAGGGCCATTACCAACTCGATCTAATACCAACACTACGTGATACAGTACAAATTCTCAAATTTATCAAAGTAGCGTTCCAGTGGAATCTGCTCTGAGACTGAGTACTAATTTAATCGCGCAATATACTAGTCCCTATACAACTCCCACCGGGAGTGGGCCCCGGGTTATACGCCTATATGCAAGCGAAGGGCCACAATGTGGAGTAAAAGGACACTTTGACCCTTTAAGTGTGGTATACGAAACGTTTGATTGGGCGAGTAGCTCTTCATTGTTGCCCCTTAGCTAGTGGAACCTGTAATCGATCTGGAACGTGACTCGGAGGTTTTCCGGCTCCTCGGACACAGCACTAGTATATGACACTAGTATATGAAAGTCAACAATGCCCGCCAAACCCTCGGACGCGGTGCCGAAAGGGAAGCTGGTACCGAGCACAGAAAATTGGCTAACTAACATCCCCTTCTCCACTTCGCAGTATGGGTATATGCATTTCGTACATGCATTAGCTCCTGCAGTGGCGCCGCAAATGTTTGAGGCAATCAAATTTACCGCCTTCTTCTCGTCTTCCTAATTCAGACTAGTCCAGCTTCGAAAATTTAGATATTTTTGATTGATACTGCAGAGAAGGCATGGCAGTAGCTTGATCTGAGTATTTTAAAAAGCCTTGCGGAGGGCATGCTGCGGAGAGTGTAGGCTATTATTGCGTGAAATGGATGGTATACATATCGAACATTAGGAAGTCAGGGATATTTTGAACCGGCAGAATAAGTGGCAGAAACTAGGCGGTAGATGTACTCGAGCCTGTGCGGCGCCACTGTGCTTTAGCTTTACTAGGACTTATATATCTCTTCTATAGCCACCAAGTATAAACTTACTTATAGTTATAGGTCTCCACCAGAAAACTTTTCGACTGGCCCCTGGGAGGTCAAATGCTTAGGTTCCACTATATATATTTCGGATAGATTGGGGGCGAGATATGTATGTACATACCTAGTACATGGTAGGTAGTATTTATGAAGTGGAACTAAAGCGGGACTGTTTATTTTTCTAAGTCCTGACTTACATGCACGAGTATGCATGATCCACTTCCCATAGGTTTACTTGAAAGTTGTGCCCCGGGGCTCTAGCTGGTCTTCGAAGCGAATTACAGAGACATGAGACAGGGGAGGAACGAGAAAATCCCGATAGTACATTTAATTATTTTGCCCCATTAATCTCTGCTAAAATATCCACTCAAAATTGGGCTAATATGATGTGGAAATTACCCTCGAATTTCCAAATTCTTTTTATGTTCTTGCAATCTTCCTTCCACACTGTTCCACCGTCTTACCTCCATGGCATCTATCCGTTCGATTCTACTTGTGATTGCCCTGGCTCTCCAAGGCAGTGAGGCCCTTCCTGACTGTCAGAGCTATATCCACAGTGAGACAATCGCTTATTTCAACAGCGCTCCCATCACCTTTAGCTATGAGCTTGCAACAGCCTTGGATTGCCAAAGATGGTGTGAGAAGGTATCAAAATGCCAAGCATGGGTCTATGTTGAGCAGTCAAATCAATGTGACCTGCATCGTACGGAGGCGTTGAGCGTCTCGGATAACGCAGGATTCATCTTTGGCGGGTGCAAGCCTAGAGCTGTCAACGAATCCCGAACAGCTCCTACTCCTAGCTCTTCGTTGCACTCCGTTGTTATCAGTACTCCAACACCTTCGGAAACTGCTTATCTGGTTCGTTCTCATCCTTTTCAAGCATGTTGCTCTGGACTGACGGCTAACGTGATTCTGCCCTCGAAGGCTCATGCTAGGCGAGAAATCCTCCGTCACAAGCACAAGGGTCACCACCCAAACCTGTAGTCTGGTGGAAACATATCCTTTCTTTAGGTGGTTCAGGTCACTGCGAGGGACTTTGACTGGGGGTCTGCAAGATGTCGGGTTGTTCGTGTATGGAATAGTTATCATTTATTGTTTTGAATAAGAGGTGCCCGACAAAAGGAAAGAGCTTCGGTACCAAGGAAGACTTTCAGGCGGAGATTCAACAACGACAATATTAGTGGACTCCAACCTTGGAAGTACGCTTCGACAATAGCTAGCGCTTTTTCGCTGGTTTGTATCCAA